CTGGGAGAAGTTCGGTGAGGTGTTGGAGTCGAATTTCCACACGGCAAAGTATTCTGGCAGACCATCCGCCAGCTCATAGGTGAAAAAACGGGCAGTCTCAGAGTCTTGAAGAACAGATCTGAACACCTTCTTACCAAGGATGATGACATTCTTCGGCGATGGAGGCAGCACTTTGAGGAATTCCTTAACCTTAACGTTGAGCAACCACAAGAAGACTCGTCTGTGTACCAACAGGAAACGGATATTACTATTTCTGTAGATGAAATCACACAAGCTGTGAAGTTTCAAATGTAGAAAGGCTGCTGGAATTGATGAAGTCCGCCCTGAGATGCTAAAGGCAGTAAGTGAACAAGGCACCTGCTGGCTTACATGAGTCTCTCAAACTACAATGGCTAAGTAGACACCAGCGGACTGCAGGACGTGGGCTATAGTACCCCTGTTCAAGGGAAACCACGGGGATGGCTCTAATTATCAGGGATTTATCATATTCAGCAGCCAGAAAAAGCCTATTCAAAGGTGCCAGGAAAGAGACGCAGCGGAAGAACTTATTCCAAAATGCAAGTGTGGCTTGTGACACCCGTCAAATCACGTTTAATCAGGAATCCGCTCTTGCCACTTTCTTCGGAAATCGTGGGAGTTCGCTTACCGGTTTAAGTTTTGTCGATCGAGAGAAAGGCCATGACCGGATCCCATGCGATAATCTACGTGCGTGCCTGCGAACATATGGGATCGACGGCCAGCGGCGACATGCCATCCTATCACCAAATGCTGATAGCGTTGGGAACGGTCTTCTCGAAGGCTGCGTTATACCCCATCTCCTGTTTCTGTTGTACACTGATAATAGTAGTGAAACAGCGTACATCAATACCGTGATGATGAAAGTGGTACGCAGAGTCGAAACGCGTCAACAAATAAACGATTTAAAATCGTCCGTTTTTAGTGTTGCCGTGGACCATGGATAAGGAAGCAAAGACCATTAACAGGAATCTGTATATTGTATGAGACGTCGAAAACCTTTCTTAGCATAAAATTTTAATATACATGTAATCTCAAAATAGGGCGATTCAAGAAGAAACAAACAAACAACTTTTGTAAATTTATTGTACAAATGAAACGTATCAATCTCGCAACAGACGACTTCAAAAGACTTTCAGCGGACGATTTCTTCTCACTAAAATGAAAAAACGCATTGGGTGATTGCATAATATGATTTTACTTCATATGGCGTGAAAGTCAAATATTAAATTCTAAATTAAATTCTAAAATTTAACAACAATGAAAACAAATTATAGACGCAAAACTCTACAATGAATAGTCTTAACGTCTTTCAGATTAACAAAACAGTCAAAGACAAAAATGTAAATAAAGGAATATTTAATGTATAATCTGCAGCAGTCACCGTATAAAATTCACTTCAGACTACGAACACGAGAACCAGATGGCGTTTCTTGAGTTTCTCATTAAGCGAGATGAAAATAGAATAGTCTCGTTGAAATATGGTCCAAAAAAACTAGCCGCTACCTTAAAACTTATACACACATCCTTAAATCTCTTCAAGAATATCATGGGATGTATGAGTCATAGGTCTTCCAGATATTGCACACAAGACCGGCTGCATAAAGATAAAATCAAGCTTCCTTCATCAACGTCTCTTATAAACGGATATAAAAAATACTGAATTGGTTCTGTATTAAAAACCTTTTTATGCTGTCCCCCCCCCCTTTGTTTTGATTGTAATTCCTTATCTCAACATCATGCATATCTGAGAAAATCACATAATATTTAAAAAGGTACTACGGTTTTTATGCATTTTTTGTAGCATCAAATCCTTAAGAATCTTGTATAAGAACCTTGATCCTCATCTATGCTTCCAGGATACAAGGTTACCTATCAGATTACACAATAATAGTTATCATATATGAACAGAAAACTGTCGAGCGCTAAAAACCAGATTTAGGGAACAAAAGAAAGCCATCAGGTACCGTAAATGGGATCATACTGGTTTGATTGCTCATGCACTGTAGCACGGTTATCACTTTAACAACAGCGATGTCACGGAGGTCTATCGATACCACCACAAAATAATGTTGCTAATGAAAGAGTTGCTTCAATCGCAGCCAGTAAGAAGCAGTAGCGGTTGCGTCGGCTACGATGAACATTTCTAAGACGTGGAGACTGACTGCTGATTAACTGCTTAATTAAAGACCAGTTCAGCGTCCCATCAATCAGATAAAGCAAAACTGACCTGGTAGTTGTTTTCCATTTTACACATTCCCTGATGAGAACTGATGCTCATTTTGTCGAAACGTTGGAACAGCTTTTGCATATAAAAATATTTTCGTTTTTGTACTGCATACAACAGAATCAGACGCTCTGTCGTCTTCAAGCGGAAGTTGTTTCGACAGTTTAAATAGCCGAAAAATGTTCAAATCCAGCTTTGCAACCTACCAGTGAAACACCTCGTTCAAATTTGAATTTCAGTGAATTCGACGGCACGAGTAAGTAAAAGAGTAGTCTGCAGCAACTCTATAAAGGAAAATTAACCATCTGACTAAGTATCTTTTGGGTTTAAAACTTGGTTTTTTATCGTACTGGCAGCTATCAAACGGATCAAGCAGAGTTGCGAAGAAAGATCAACACTATCACAACAAACATCAAGATATTACTCCCGCCCATTCTGGTATGACCATACCAGAACAGGGTGTTATTTAAATTATTCGCAACTCAATGATTTTGTGGTACCTGATTCACAGCTGGCTGTACTGCAATTTTGGGTGAATCCATTACTCAAGTGAATTTGCGGTTGGCAGGATAAATTATTTCCCAACGCCCACTATGTTCTGCGCCCACTTGTTTCCTCTGTGTCACCACACCCCTTTTTCTTGCGGGGCGTGCTTGAAAAAAAAAGTTTGCGATACAGAGCAGCAAAGGAAATTGAGAGTTCGTACGATGTGTGAATATTCGTCAGTGTAACTACAGCTTAAAGAAAAGAAGAACATGAAACTGTTCGTTTTCTTTACTAGTCATTCGTCAGGAATTATTGCAATAATTCTTTCACGGATTTTGATTTTGTTCCGCATGACATCTGACAAGTCAATTTAAATGGCGGCGGAAGCACAACTGAAAGCAATGCCTGTTCTGCTCAGTAACCTGTGGTCGATAGTACCTGCAAAAGAATGAGTGACAAGATTTCTCGGTATCTGCATACCTAAGATATTTTCTCCCTAAAAAATGGTGTCTGGTCATCGCATGCTCTTGGATACCTCTGAACTCGCCTCAGTTAAGTTGGAGGTTATAAACAGGATTCTACGCCTACTTCAAAACAAATACTACGAAATCACTGATTCTACCGCTAACTCTAAATATTTCATAAATAAATTTGACGCATCAAATGAAGTCTCTAAAAATTTTTCAACGGCAATATTTAATTATTGAAGTATAGTAAATTTCAGTTTGAAAAATTCTTACATGCACAAATGTTACGAAATTCAAAGTTGGAAAACCTGTCTAAAACACTAAATATTAACAGTAAGCACTAAAGAAAAAACAACAATAATGTCTGCCATCCTCTTGATCAAAACTTAACTGTGATAACTGCCTTAGCCTCTAATTATTATCTATTATCTAATCTAAGACGAAAACAATAATTTAGACAAAGAATTCAAATGCACCTTTGCAACAAATGCGCCGACGGGGATTTGCATCTTCGTCAGGAATTCAGCATGCTCTTGGTAGGGCGTTTTCTTCAGGGGAATATCCTTCCATAAATCAGGCGTCAAGTAACTGTAGGTAGCTGCGATGGCGGCATACGTAGCTTTTGCTAAAAAAAACATTTAATCATATTTAATGCAAAATATTTGTACTAGGCGAAATAGAAACAGAATGCTGCAAATTTTTGATATCCGATAATTCTGAGTCAATGGATTTGAACGTCGGCCTGATCAATCGCTTATCATCACTCGCAGGTAGAAGTATGAATGCTAATGGTGTCAGAATAATATACTGATAATATAAAAGGGTGTAGGAAATTTACTACACTGTAATTTACTATAAGGCATAATAGTATCTATATTATCTAACATCTTTTGATAAGTTATTCATGTAAATTAATACAGAATACGATATTTTACAGAGAAAACAAACAGGATTACATGCAGCTATCACCACGTAGCTGAAGATATCAAGGAGATCTTTAAGTCAACCAGAAAACTTTTGAAGTAGTTTCCTGAAAGCTTACCGGCAGTCAAGGATGTGATAAGGAAACAAAAAATTACGTGCCATGTTGACCAAAACTGTAGAAACCGCCTCCAAAATATTGTCATCCTGGCTGACGGTCTCCACAATTATGTCAGTTGCAGAGTGAGATCATGAACAATGTCAAATGGTGTCGGTCAAACAAGCGGAACGGAGTGACATCTCAGTATTAACAATATTAGGAACCTTCTCGTTACATTGAAAACACCATGTCAAATGGAAGACCTACAGGACAGAGACACATGATACCGGAAGCTAGGCAGCGCTAGTTCAATTTAGATTCTATCTAAGCGATCTTACAAACAGCAGAGACTTCCATGCTTGCAACGCCTGCCAATGATCTATGAAACAATGATTCATAAAATATTGAGGTTGTTGACTGAGCAGATGGGAGGAAGAATGAGTCATATTTCTGTAATTCTTCCAAGAACTACAACTGCTAACAGTTGCTGCTTCTAATTCCATAGCTAATACCACAAGAAAAAATTTTCTGTAAAGAATGCACTCTGCGACCCGAAAGGAGAAGCGGTGATGGAAGATGAAGACGTAAAGAATGCCGCTTCGATCAAATGATAATCACTCATCATCAGAGTAATACCAGAGAACCTCCTGATATCTTGTTTCTTCCCTGCACTTTGGTACTAATTGTACTGTTTAATTCTACTCAGCTGTAATTTAAGGCTAGCTGTTGTCGTAACGGCAGTTACTATCATTGGTTTAGCATCTTCGAACGACGCTAGAACAGCTACTTACCACTTCAGTGGGTTATAGCAATGTCCGCCAAGTTTACTCAGTCCATTTTCCACCGTTTTTACCCGTACACTGCCAGACCAAAACTTCAACATCAGCTCTGGCAGTGCGCCACCTAGTCTTAACTTGTCCGCCTTATTTCAGGTGCCGTCAAGGATCGCGACGGAGTTCAATGTAAAAAACAGGATATTGTTTGATGGATGTCTCAGCACGTACCCTAGGTAGTGCAGTCACTGTTCGTTCAGTATGGTAGAGAGCTGTAACGGCCACCGACTGCGGTGTGGCAAATACGTTCGATAAATCATGTCAATGAGTTGAATCGTAAACATCAATGTCGAAGAATTTCTGTCCACCTTCGACTTATATGGCTCAACTCTCAAATCCATTAAAAAGAATGGAATAAATCGCGGCCTAGAGAGCTAGACATTGCGTTTTTAGACCAATCTCTTGTTGTCTGTTTCCTTCGCAGCATGCAGAGCTGGATCAATGACCCTCATCGCGCCTAAATGCTATTTTCCTAGCCATATGTTCATCTTAGACTGTCCAAGGAGAAGAATTTTGTGGCAAAGGTAGTTGAAGGTGGTGACTTCGTCAAGTAGCATCTTCTTGGCTTTTTCGCCTGTTCCCGGATTCAACGCGAATACTTCAGCCTATGATGCTTTGATTGCGAGTTCGATGCTTCACCTCCTGCTATCACAACCCGTTGGAGAAAAGTGTTGCGAATTGCGCCCTTACTCGAAATAACAATCTTGGTCAAAATTTGAAGTATAACTTTAATGCAGTCAAAGAATATTTTTCATGGATTACTCGCTTCCTTACATACAGCTTCAGATCAGAAAATTAGGTTAATCTTACACAACCCTGTTTTTCTGGAAACCACGTCACAGACATTGGCTTACTTACCGAAATTCCCCAAAGTACCGGTCGATCCGTGAGCTGACGTATAACAGTCCTCGATTCCAGCCATATGCAAGAGTTTTTTAGGCACAGGCGCAGAAACAATGCCGGTACCACGCGGAGCAGGGATCAACCGCACAAGTACGGATCCACACTTGCCGGTAACCTAAAACGTTTTAAATTTTATCGTGCATGCTTTCTGAGATACTTTTACACTTAGCTCGCACTTTTTACTTTTCATAAAGATGACTACAACGAGTAACTTAGGGATAAAACTAAAAGGTAAGAGGGATGTAAAACATTCTATCAACGAAACATGATCGTTTTTTCCTATGACGTTCATGAGCAAATAAGCAAGATTCAAAGCCCTCCGATGGCGGTTAACAGGATTTTGAGTAACTGTTGTACTACAATTCAGTTTATCGCGAGGGCATTTAAGAGTAAGATGGTGATTGAGTATATAATTTGACCATTCCCTTGACATTCGCAATGAAACGAGTATCGAAAGTTCCATTCATGCGCATGGCATGTCAGTTAGCCGCTCTCGAAGACTAGTTATCCATTTAAGTAATGAAGGCACCGACGTCAGTCAATTTTTCAAATATTCCTGATCCTGTGCCAGTGTCTGAGCTTCCGCAGAAGAAAACCCAGAGACATGGTCCGTCAAAGCTGTTCCTGGGGTCTTCGTAAGGCTGGTCGAGCAAATAGAAGCTGTTTCGTCTTCGTTCCTCCCGTAAAACGTAACCAAATGATCACAGCTGTGACGCTTCAATCTGGCAAAGCACCAACGCTATCTCAGATATCTGAACTCCGAACTCTACCGAAAATAGTGAGTCCATCAACTGGTCTCAAAAATTGAATGTCAGCGGCTTTTACGTCTGTCAGTTTGTTAGTCAGTGTTTCTACTCCTACAACAGAAGAAGAAGGGAATTAAAACAGACTTTAGCACAGACAGCTTCATCTTCAGACTCAGCCCTGACTTAGTCCAACAATTGGGGAGAGTTAACGGAAAATTCCAATTCGTCGGTCGACCTCTTCTTCCCGTTTTCCATCATCGGTAAGAACAACCGTGAAATATGTGAAATTCTTCACCTTTCTATTGCTCCTCCGTTTATCTGCAAAATCGTAGTCTATCATTTGCTAACGGCTGCTTCGTATTCACAAAAGACACGATCAGCGTCCAAGAGTCCAGCGGTGGTTGCAAAAGGAATCTCTCACAATCGATTTGGAGGATAATTATTCCAAGACGAAATGGACGCAAAAGATGCATTGATCTGAGGGCTCTATTTGCGAAGAGCAAT